CATTTTCTTCTTCTCTCTGCGTCTTTGAGGAAGCCACACATTCTGATCCCTCTCTCGGACCGATTGCTATATGCAGCGCAGCCAACCATGGTAAGATAATCAACCTATAAAGGTATTATTAAAATACAGTTTTTGTACATATAGAAATGTTGAACAAAGCCAGAAATATAGAGATGTAAAATTATATTTTAGAATTTTATCCAACCCTAAAATTTGTCATTTCAAATTTTAAGCCACTGACAAATTTTATTTTAATAATAATCAAAATAAAGTTATTCAAAAGAGTTTAATTAGGTCTTGAGTACATTGCTCATAATTAATGATTCAGCTTATTTGTGCATATGTAATGACTTAACATAATGTTGGTAAAATGCTTTATTAAAAATGCTATTATACATGTTGTACAAGTTTGGTGTTCATTTTTTCACAATTAAAACACCCTTTTTTTATCTACTGTGTTTGACCATACAGTTTTATTGAAATTTTCTTTTTAATTAGTTGCTATAGAAGCCAGATAAACTGGGTTATAGATGCATGTACTGTCTTCACATAAAAATATAAAGTAATGATTGTAAAATGTATTCTACTGAACATAATAGATCACCGTTCAAAGCATAAACAGCTACATATTTTCTTCAAGGTGACCTCTGCCTCACCACTACATATTTCAAATACAACGAAGGTTTCTACAGACAAAAACATGGCTGTGCCATGGGCTCCCCCGTGTCACCTATTGTAACCAACCTTTACATTCCCTATATAGGCGGTGTATCAGAGAAACTCAGGAGGGTTTTCTCCAAACACAACATACCAGTGTACTTCAGACCCAGCAACACACTCAGACAGAAACTGGTTCACCCAAAAGACAAAACTCCTAAACACAAACTGAACAATGTGGTGTATGCTGTACAGTGCAGCGAGGAATGCCCAGACCTCTACATCGGAGAAACTAAACAGCCACTTCACAAGCGCATGGCACAACATAGAAGAGCCACCTCCACGGGACAGGACTCAGTAGTTCATTTGCATCTAAAGGACAAAGGTCACTCTTTCGAGGATGCCAACGTTCACATTTTGGACAGAGAGGACAGGTGGATTGAAAGAGGAGTAAAGGAAGCCATTTATGTCCACTGTGAGCAACCATCTTTGAACAGAGGCGGTGGTTTACGACACCAACTGTCTGCCATCTATAATCCAGTTTTGAGATCCCTTCCCAGATGCCTCAACACTCACGCATATCCTGGGCCATCTGACCTCAGGAATTCACATGATAGGGTGGGGCCAGGCTTCACAATGAGCTCACCCGAAACTCTGGCTGAATAGGACCCACACCCACCCTCACACCTTGGCTCATAGAAGATCATCAGGGAGTCCTTTGTTCCCTCTTCGGGGGGAAACTCCCACTGGGTTTAAATCTGGACTCTCCACTAGAGCCCTGCACTGAAGCCCTAGGCCCTCGGGTCGGCCTGGCCTGACTGCCCGAGGGCCGGGCTTCGGGCCAACGACTGTGCAATTACTGCCGGGCGCCTTTATTTTTAATCGAAATCATTAAAAAAATTAAAACACTTAAACGCAGCAGTAGAGCCCTGCGCGGGACTGTTTTCTTCATCCCGCTCCTGCCCGCTCCCGCTGAATTTCTGACCATTACCGCCTGCAACCACAATGTGTGTGTTACACTCCCGCCCGCACCCGTAGCGTGCATGTCTACTCCCGCCCGCACCTGCAGCGTGCATGTCCACTCCCGCCCGCAACCGCAAAACTCGGAGAAATTATTGCCTCACAATAAAAGAGATGTATTGAGTTTGCGTCCTCAACATGTCATTTTATAGGTTATCCGCTTTCACCACAGCGCTGCGCTCCGTTTCAATCAGGCTGTACAGCAGGATTTCCCCTCATAGCGATATTTTCTCTAACTCTGATTACTTCATGCTATATATCGTTGGAAAGCTGCTTTTATGTACTTTTAGGAACCGTTGGAATTATTTGAATCTGATCAGCCATTCAAAAGTTATAAAATGGAGCATTTTGGATGACAAACTCAGCACGTCTCTGAATCTGTGTTGTGATTCGTTGCGCTCAAGACAGGAAATCCCGGTGGCTACCGTAATGTATTGTATATGCACGAAAAGCCCCATTTTTAATCTTTTCAGCACTTTTGGAATTTTAATGATATCTTGAACTAGAGCAGGGATCAGCAACCCGCTCTTCCATCCATCTGATACGGCTCTCTGTGCTTGTAAAATAATGAATGGATATTTAAATAAAATGCTTTATATTTTACTGAATTAATTTTATATCTGTAAGTCAATTCTATGTGAAGATTGTCTGCATAAACCTGAACAGTTCCAACCCGGTCTTACTGTGAGACCGTGGCGTGTTGGGTCAAGCTTGTGCGTAATATGCGCTTATGAGCTGAAGAGGATGTGAGATTCTGGGCTTCTCCTCAGACGGCTCCAGGATGCGTCGCCACATTGGAGACAGGAATAAGCACAATTCAGCCAAAGGTTCATAATCAGGGAACATTTTCTAAGTGACAAGTCTCTCTGAGCGACAGGGTTTGGAAAACACTCGCTTCAGTGGGAAGCTTCCCGCATGCGCTTCTGCAACGATCGGATCCTGCACGTCTTTTAACAAATTGGTCAGGATTGACGCACTTTGTTTTCATTTAGTTGGTTAAAAAAAAGTCGGGCTCGGGCCGGGCCAGAGAATCCTGAAAACCTTTTCGGGCTGGGTCGGGCTGGGGCTCCACCCCCTCGGGCCGGGCCGGGCCGGACACGGGCTCAGATTTTAGGCCCGTGCAGGGCTCTACTCCACCATTTGACCTCAAAACTGAAGAAGCCTCTGGGATGAGAGGTGAAACTCTTCAAGCAACTCAAAGAAGTCCAGACGCTTTTCTTTCAAGCTCATTAGACTATCATTGATAATAATAAGCAATTTTGCTGTTTTCAGCCCACCTCTGCACCAGCAAACTTCTGCATCTCAGAACAAGAGCATCATAGCTTTTTCCCCCCGATGACTCATAAGGCATTCATTTACACTAGAGAACACTGCAAATGTAATGAATAAATGAGTAAATCACACCTTTAAATTGCTTTAATTCCATTACTGCTGTGTTTTATACAATCACTGGCTCACTATCGGAAACTTTTATGTCAACATGACTCATATTGAGAAAAGCTTTAAGGATTTAGAAGGTTATAGATTAATCCAATCTTAAATAATCAAGATCAAGTCTCTCTTGGGCTCGTTCAGAGGATTGAATGAGCATTATCTGGTAAAACGCAAGGAACACAGCAAGGCACATTGTAACAGACAGCAGTAAATGATAAGATCCAACCATATTAGATAGTGTCAGAATGTGTGTGTGCGTGTGTGTGTGTGTGTGTGTGTGTGTGTGTGTGTGTGTGTGTGTGTGTGTGTGTGTGTGTGTGTGTGTGTGTGTGTGTGAGCATGAATGTATATTTTGGAGAGTGAAGGAAAATTTCCATTATGGTGGACATTATATGTGGTCCATGTTTGACTTTTGAAACCAACTGTTGGTTTTTAACATCCTCTGAAATGTTCACAGCACTTTTGAAATACGAAAGGAAAGTTAAGAGCTGGTAGGAGCAAAGGATGAAGCATGAATTCACTCACTCACTACACTGTAAAAACTAATAAGGTAAAAGAAAAGCCTAATTTTTAGACATTTTATCCTATTATTATTGTCTAATGAGAAAAAACTACTTTTCTAGAAAAAAACACTACTTAAAAAGGGTAAATATTCTGAAATATGATTCCAAATTTTCTAGTTTTTGGTAAAAAAAAACAATTTCCATTTGGGAAAGTAAACGTTGCTTGGTTCAAATTCCTATAGCTAGTTTTAGGAATTCGAGCCAAGCAACGTTTACTTCCCCACTGGCATTTTTTTTCTTTTACAAAAAACAAGAAAATTTGGATCATTTTTGACAATATTTACCTTATTTGAAGTGGTGCTATTTTTCTAGAGAAATTTTTACAGTAAAAATAAAATAACATTTCAAAAAACAATGAGGCATTATTTTCTTAGAAATCAGTTTTTGCAGTTTAGGGTCACGGGGTATTCCATCTGGTATCTGTCTCTAGATAACTGCATATGATTGTAGCACAAAATTGTGATGAGTAAAAAAAATACATAATTTTAAAATGGAATCACAACAAATTGGTATTTGAAACCTTTTTGAATGTCAAAAAAAGAAAGTTTCATGAACACACTAAATAAATTTGTTGATCTGTGAACTTTAGTTTTACTTATGATTTTGACCGTATTTTGTTCTCCTGTGAGGCACGGGATGCAGCTGATTGATAACAGCTGAGTGTACCCTGATGTACTGGCGAGAAAAGTTCTGACTTAATGATTGTAATTAATTTTCATGCTTCATAAGTTTACAGATAAAACAATGTCATGGTGCTGGGTGGAACCTTTACACTAAACTTAAAAAAAAAAGAATAACTGAGCAGCAGCCACACATCCTGATCATACCTGCAAAATGATCGAGGGAGTGATACCTGCAGGCATTTAAGAATACTTCTTATCTTTTAGTGGTACAAACTAAAATCTCCTCCCAGAGAGCAGAAACGTGGTTGAGGAGTGTAGAAATCATAATTCAACACACAATGAAAACATATGTTGCTAACTTTGCAGTCACATGCACAAAATAGGAGAAGTGCTACAGTAACGAGGCAAAACATGCAGTGTGCATAAGCAGGAGTGGGGTGTTAAACGCCCCTAAACTGTGTGTATTGCAGCAAGGTGGGGGAAGAAAAGGCAGAGAGGGGGGTGGTGATGGGGAGGGGGTATTTCCTGCACACATGGGACGCATCATTTGTAGCTGAGATCCTTCAAGCACGTTTTAGAAGTAGTAGATGAGGTTTTATAGAAAACAACGCCAACAGCTCATGTTATTTTTCACTGTTTAGGACTGGTTTGCTGAAGGTTTTGTTGCCTTTGAATGTCACTTCTCACCATTACAGCCCACGTGCACGAGGAGCGCGCAGAGCAGGAGCGCGCGCGGAGGCGGTCCGGGGCTGCCTCGGTTTTCTGTAATCGCGGTTCTGCTGCTGCTACCTCCAGTTAAATAGCAAGGACACGGGAGCGAGCAGACGGCCGTGTGAGGGTTTACTTTTTTCTCGGTACCTTGGGATTACCACACCGAATTGCAGCATCGACGGCCAGCCGCCAGGTAAGAACCGCGTCGTAGCCGCGCCTCGTAGATCCAAGGGAAGAAAGTAAGTAAATGTCCCGTGATAAAGTGTCGTTTTTCCACTGAACGCGAAGGGGGACGAGGTGGTGGTGGTGTGGGACGAGCCTCCCTTTGTGCCGAGCCAGGGTCACTGCTTTGCAGCTCCAGAAGCGGCGAGGGGTCCGCACATTCCCCCTCCCTCTTCTCCGCTGGCCCTGCCGTTGACCGTCCTCCATCCGCCCCAGCCACGGCTGCTTCGGTTCAGCCCGACAGAAACGCCTTCCCATCTGCGTATTTTTAACCAGTTATAAAACAAACTAGGCCTGTGCAGCTTCCTTTTATTTTTTTTAATACCCTAAAGTGGTAACCCTACTTTCCGCCTCCCCTCCTTCTCTCCCCCGGCCTTGTAACGTTAGCTAGCTAACAGTTAATGTTTATGGTCGCTTTTGTCGGACGACTCGGTAGCCAGCATAGTCTATTGTGTCTCCCATCCCCATATACGGTGACCTATCTGTTTTGACCAGGCGGTTAAGTGATGTCTGATAAATCACGGCCGTGTTAACTTGTCTCTGCTGTTGTTTTGGGGGGCGATAATGTCCTCGTTTCGACCCCGGTGTTGGCTAATTTCAGCCGTTGATGTCCTCATCATTAACCGCGAAACGTCCCCGGGAGAAACGCGACCTCGCTCCAATCGATCGTTCAAGATCACTTCTCATCTATAGGATGTTTCTTAAAGATAAATGAGCATTTTTTTAATCCATGATCGCATTTTAAATTCTTCATAATCTTGTTAGCCGTGATTTTGTCGTTTATAAAGGAAACCTCTATTACCCTCCAACAAAAACAAGGGCATTTAGTGTTTCCTGTCCATTTTATGAAATTATTCAGTGGTAAAGTTGATCCCAAGCATCTTTTTAACCATTTATTTAAAGAAAATCAGTTAGAATTACTCTGCTCACCACCTGGATTTTTAGATCCATGGTCAAACCACAAAGTTAGAGAAAGGCAAGTTATTTAATCCTAATTGGATTTTTGTTTTGTTTTTCATCTTGTATTTTCTCTCTGTAGGTTTAAATAAATACCTTACCACCTGTTAGCTCGTATCGCTAGACATCATCCACATCCAGATGTTTATTTTATTCAGCCTTTATTTAATCCGATGATAACCCATCATCATAGGGTGATCTCGCCATCAGTATCATTTACAAACAATACAGGGAAGACAACACTAAAAACCAGTTAAAATAAAAAAAAACAATGTAAAATTAAAGATGACAATTAAAATGTTCACAAATAAGAGACATGTGTAAATGATAATGGTTTGCAGCTCCTTCTTGCTGGCCTAATGGTAGAGTGTCTGCTCTGGGACTGGGAGAGTGGGGTTCAAATCCTACCAAAGACTTTTAAAATGGGACCCAATACCTCCCCTCTTGATACTCCGCTTTAAGGGGTTGGATTGGGGGATTAAACCACCAAATAGTTCCCGAGCGCAGTCGCTGCTGCCCACAGGGATTGCTCGAATGTGCAAATGTAGTTCCACCAGTGTGTGATGATGACTATGGAACTTTAATTTAAAGTAGATCAAAGGGCGTACAGCAAAACCAAAGTAGACAATTTCAGTTCAGATAGGTGCAAAGCAACTAAATGCTGTCTTTCTCATTTTTGTTTTAACACGAGGAATGCAAAAAACCTGCCAGATGATCAAATGATCTTAAATGGTAGCAAGTTAAACAATTAAAATCCTGTTATTCAGCTCTGTTGCATCTGTAGTTTGTGGGGACTTGCTCACATCTGTGCTGTGTCTACCTGCTATTTTGTGCTTCCTTAGGGCCCACGATGTCCAGCGAAGTTCAGAGACCGGACGACAGCCCCAGCACAAGCGGGGGAAGCTCAGATATTGAACAAAGAGAAGCGGTACCACCTGAACAGGAGCGGGAGCAAGCACAGCCCAAAAAGAAGGAGACCAAGATCTCCAGTAAAACCGCTGCTAAACTTTCAACTAGTGCCAAGAGGTGCGTTGGAAAAGCAACAGCCTTGATCTTAGTTTGCAAAGATGCATTTGCAGTAGAGCTGCTTGTTGTACTGAAGCCCCCCACCCCTCCATGCCTGGGGGTGTGATGTTGTACATACAGACTGCAGTCCCACAGGCATTGTCGTTTCAAACATCCACACTATTCAGCGTGACACCGAACCCATAGAAGATCAGTTAACACACACACACGGCTCTGCACTGCTGTCTTTTGAAAGTGATATTTCCATTCCAGCCCATTTGTTTTAAAGATTGTGCCTCATGCTCCACAACTCTTGCCTCTGCTACACAACCAACACTCAGTCTGCCTCCAACAGTCTCAGCACTTGTTCCCCTCAAAAAAACAAACAAAAAAAAAACACAGCCGATGAGAGAATTATGCAACCAGTTGAGCAAAGAGTCTTCTGAGAGTGCCGAGTCTTTTTATAAAAGCGACGGATGCTGTGAACCTTTCCCTTTTTGTGTCTCACTTTAAAGCTACAAGGGGCCTTCAGCACAACAACTGCAACCTGCTAATTATAGTAGTGGATATAAAAACAGCATTCACCCTATAGGTTTACCATCTGACTTAGATGATTTTGTAAACAGACGATGGAGGGTTTTCCTTTTGGCTTTTATGTAGACAAACTGCTTTGATCATTCATGTATATTTCAGCTAACGTCATAAATAAATATTATTCATGCCACACATTTCTAGTCGGTGCTTTCAGGTTTTCTGCTATACTGGAGAAAAGATGAGAGGTTTTTATGTACTTACATTGTCGGATGTACTATTAATGTCCTCCATTTATTTTCAACGTGCATTTAAAAGGGAAAATCTTTGCTTTACAGGATTCAGAAAGAGCTCGCAGAAATAACACTAGACCCACCTCCAAACTGCAGGTAAGGTGTTAAGCCTTCACAAATATAAAGTCTTCCTGTGGGTGTGTGTGTGTGTGTGTGCACATGCTACAATGGATGTAGGCAGCAGAAATATGCTCATTTCATGGTTTCTTGTTTGCAAAACTGAAAAAAACAAGGGGGGAGGCCATGCTGTAATGCACTCTCTTTTGTTTCCGTTCCCATAATGCTGTTGTCTGTTGCATGTCCGTCTATATTTTATTTCCTTGAGAGAGGGGTAATCTTGGGTGAATTACGGTCGCTGTAGCCTATTCTTGCTTTGTTGTTGCTGCTGCACACTGCAGCTTCTGTTGGTTACGCAGCTTTTTACATGAAAGCATTACAGTTGCTCTGAAATGGCTGGAAAATGAGTGTTGGTGTGACGTTAAAACCTGTTTGGATTGTGGTGTCTCACAAACATACGCACGCACGCACGCACGCACGCACGCACGCACACACACACACACACACACACACACACACACACCTCCATCCTGGTGGATTTACCGCAGACAATGGATATTGTGTGCGACTGTGAGCCCTTTGAGGAAGCAAGATGATCGTGAGCGAGCGGCCGACCACATGCGCGTTGCTCTTTTTGGACATGATGAAAGACATCCCTGTGGGGTGTTGCGCAGGAGCTGGCTTTTATTAACTTGAATAACCCAAAGTGACACTTCCATTGATTATTGCTCTGTTCGGCACGAAGCAACGATTATTCTCGGTGTCTTCGCTCTGCTGCAAATGAAAGAAAATGGGAGCCGGTCTTTGTTGAGGACACTTGTGGGAGACGCTGATGTTTTTTGATGCTTTGGGTTTCTTGTCATAGGCACCTGCTTAAAATGATTAAGGAAAGCAGCTTATTATGACTCATCTGGCGATTAGAAATTACTGCACCCTGAACAGCCTTGTTTATTGCATTAATTAATCACCCCTGCTGGCGCTCGTCAGAACCTCGTCATCATTAGAGATAAACATCCAGCTAACCTTTTCATTTTCAGCTCACAGCCCACTTTTGTTGTTCCAGTAGAAACATAAAGAGATGTTTTTCTCCTGGGTTTTACTGTCTTTCACAGCCTCCCCAAAAACCCTAGGTAGGCTCACATGAAGGATTTAGCTTGACGACACGAGTAAGTCATTTGAAAGTAAAATAATTGCTTGCGGATATTTCACAGTCACCGTCTTAGTGGGGGAGCTAGTTGCCTGGGAAACAATTAAGCTTCTTCAGGATTATCCCTTAGTGTGGGTGTGTTCGTTCCCTTTCTATGCTCTCAAATGACTCTACTATCTAATGATGCGTTTTCAGTGATTTTCCCTAATAGGTTAGTCTCCCTGTTAGCAACAGCGAGGGTGAAACGCATCAGAACCACAGAACGATTACGCCACCGTTTACACGCTCACATGAATGAGCGCAGACAACTGCGTTGGTATGCTGCGTGCTCGCGCTGTTCAGTTAACCTGAAGGGTTATTTGTTTCATCGACTTGGACAAATGGAGTGGGAGACTTTAGTCCCCCATCAGGAGGCACACGGAAGCGTAGTGCTGAAGTCTGGACACCTTTTTATCTCATTGTTTTAGTCACATTTGAGTTACCTGTGTCTGATTTTGTTGTTTATGAATGGAGCGTCTTACTTTGTGTTAGTTTTAGTGGAAATGTGTTTTCATCAGCGCTCCAGTTAAAATTAAAACAGACTATTGTGTTTGTTGCTCTTTGTTGTTTTCAGTTTTTTTTCCCGTCACTGTTATCAGTTCCGTTGTGTGTAAAATGAGTTGTTTAAAAAATATTTTCACGAGGAAATCAGTGCTGTTTCAGTACCTTTAAAATCACAAGCATCCATTTGCACTCTACATCAGGTTTTATCTCTGGGCTTTGTCAGGGTTTGCTCGTCACCTTGGCAGATGTCATGCATCAGAGGAGCGTTAACACGCTGAAGCCCTGGAGGATTTGACACAGCAATTATTCTCACTATCATCCACTTCGAGTGTATTGTTCAGGCTGTGTGTGTGTGTGTGTGTGTTTACACACCTTCTGAGGAAAATAGAGCAGCTTTTAAAACAGGTTTTCTGCACAGATGTTGTCATGATCTCACTGCAGGGGAAAAACTTTGAGATGCACCAAAAAAGTCATGACAGGCTTTCTAGGATCACTAGATTATTAAAGTTGTAAAGATTCAGATCTATATTATTATCTGTTAACCCTCAGACCTTTATATTTTCTTCATTGCTTAATTTATTTCCAGATAATCTTAGATTATACTCTCTAGTTGATGTTCTTCACGCTTGCTTTATTCTTCCCAGAACATTTCAGAACACAACTGCTTGAACAGAATTGTGGAGGAATAGTTTGGGATTCTTTCGGCTTTATCTCACATCCTGTCTCTCCCACGTCCTCCTCTGCTCATTCTGATATGTTTCTGTCATACAGACGACTCCCCGCTGCCTCCTAGTTTATATTTCCTCGCCTAACCTTTCCTCTCCTTTGTGCATCTGCTTCTGCAGAGCTACAACTGTTCTTTGGCATTCATCCCATGCAACGGTAATTTGCAGACCTTGTCATTTCAAGCTGGAATCCAGAGACACTTGCTAAAAAAGCAGCTACAGGTGATGCGTCTTGCTTTCTTGGCCTTGGTGTGGTTTCGACTCTTATCACAGACCCACATCCATTGTAGCTGCAGTGGGGTGTTAGCAGAGCGGTGCTCGGCACCAAAGATTTAATCGTAAATGACAGGGTCTTGTGACAGATCATCCTGATTCAAAGGGAAAAAAGGGACATTTTAAAGCTGCTATTGTTCAGTGATGTTCAACGGTGAGAGCAGAATAATCTGTGGCTGAAGAGGTAGAGATAGAAATTTCTTCTCCTGAGGCAACTTAGAAAGATTAAATGCAATGCAGCTGCATGGTGCACTCTGGTAACAAGCTCAGCCCTTCGTCTCCATCGGCTTCTTTATGTCGTTCAGGAAAGTATTTAGAAAAAAAAAACCACTAACTGAAATGAAAGCAGATGAAGCTGAGAGAGAGTTGATGCAGCGGAAAAGTAATTTATGAAACTTAATAAGGAGCATCTCCTGTGCTGATTGAACAGCTGGTGAGAGTGGATTTCTGCTGGTTGATAGTTTATAGTTGAACAGAAATTAACAATCTGCTGATTTAACTTCATATTTGAAAAGAACAGGATACTCTTGTATTTGTAATGATTTTTCAGATATTAATTAGTGACGTCCTGAAAATGGCGTGTAGCACAGACCAGAACAGAACTCGTCCTGGACACATTGGCTTCAGTTTTTGTTGTTGTGTTTCAGAATCATTCATTTCCACTCTGAGCTGTTTGTCTTCATTCTTTTGTGCTGTCGTGTTATATCTGTGCTCTCAGATTCTTTTTCTGTTTAGAGGCGTCATTTTGTTGTCTTCTACTTTAGAAACGACACAAACTTCCCCTCAGCTCTGAGAAGCCACTCACTCGGTGCTGTTACGCTGCCTGGCCAAAAAAAGTCTCCACCTGGATTTAATTGAGCAAATAGGTCCGAGCCTCCAATTGGATAATTACTGCAGCTGCAACAAGTTATTTATCCCCGACTGGTGCAATAGTTGCTTCTCATTTCTTAAACAACCTTGTGGAAAGATCTTAGTCTGTGTGAGAAGGGCCAGATCATTGGCATGCATCAAGCAGAGAAAACATCTACGCAACGCATTAACAACTGGTCTGATGAGCCCAGACTGACCCTGTTCCAGAGTGATGGTGCATCAGGGTAAGAAGAGAGGCAGATTAAGTGATGCACCCATCATGCCTAGTGCCTACTGTAGAAGCCTGTGGGGGCAGTGCTATGATCTGGGGTTGCTGCAGTTGGTCCGGTCTAGGTTCAGCAACAGGATGTGCTCCAAGAATGAGGTCAACTGCCTACCTGAACACTGGACACTGTGTGACGTTTTCACTCGTAGCACTCAGCTTCAGCTCAAACTGTACGACTTCCCTGTAGAACAAATCTCATGAGTCGTGCTCACACTGTACGACCCAGTTCTTGGATGCGACCTGACTGCTCTCACTGTACGTCTGGTAGCAACACATCAGATCTTAAAATATGCTAAAAATAGCAGTTTTAACACAGCAGGTCAGACTTTTTTTTTTTGTGTTGTTACTGATGTCCGGTGCCATGGGGGGTCGGTGGCACAGGAGTTAGGTGCTGGCCCCATAATCGGAAGGTTGCAGGTTCGAGCCTCACTCAGATTGTCGCTGTCGTTGTGTCCTTGGGCAAGACACTTAACCCCCCCTGCCTGCTGGTGGTAGTCAGAGGGACTGGTGGTGCCTGTGCTCGTCAGCCTCGCCTCTGTCAGTGCACCCCAGGGCAGCTGTGGCTACATTGTAGCTCATCCCCACCAGCGTGTGAATGGGTGAATGACTGATTGTGTTGTAAAGTGCCTTGGGGGGTTCCAGGACTCTAGAAGGTGCTATATCAACCATTAACATGACTGACACACAGATTTATGAGGGTTGAAGGAGGAAAACAAAAGAAAGTAAACCAATGTTTTATGATCAGTTTCATGTGACATAAACACAGCAAACATGCTTTCTTGACAATCCTTGTCAATGTGTGCTTAAAAAAGTGTAGAAATAAAAACAAGATGTCTTACATTCTATTCAAATGCTTTCGTGATTAAATCTTTTCGCAGTTTTTTTGTCCCTCAGGTGTAAACAAATTTACAGATGTCTGGACTCTTACAACATCTAGCTAACACAATTTAGTCTGGTAATCTATAAAGTGTCTTATTTGTAGCAGCAGTTGCTGCAACATTCTCCTTTCAATCGGAGCCTCAGTCTTCTGTCATTTTTCCTTTTTGTTATGTTTCATAATAACTAGGGCTGGGGGTAAACGATTATTTTTAAAACGATTATTCTGACGATTATTTTATCGAATAGTCGACTATTCTAATGACTATTTAGAAAACTAATCTAATGATTATTTTTCTATTGCACAATTAACAAAAACCAGAAAATCTCAAATAAATTC